CTTGAGCCACATCCCCAGCCCTAACATCATTTTATTTTAAAATCAAGTTTTTGTTTTAGATTTATAAAGGGATTGCAAAAATAGGACTGAGAGAGGGGCTGGTGGAGGGGCTCAGTGTAGTGCACCTGCCTATCGTGTTCAAGGCCCTAGCTTTGTGTATCCCCAGCACAGCAAAGCAACAACAGAAGGACCGAGCATCCCCTTATGCCCCCACCCATTCCCCTGATAGGAACATCTAAATACCACAGCAGTACAGTGCTTTATTATTATTGTTTTTATTTATTTATTTTGTTTTTTTTTTAGGTGGATACAATATCTTTATTTTATTTTTAATGTGGTGCTGAGAATCGAACCCAGTGCCTCATGCATGCTAAGTGAGCACACTGCCACTTGAGCCACATCCCCAGCCCCACAGCAGTACAGTTCTTAAAACTTAGGTATCATTGAGACACTGCTATGAACTACAAACTTCATTCAGGTTTCACCACTTTTTCCACTAATGCTCTTGTTTCTGTCCTAGGATCCAACCTGGGATTCCACTCTACAGTTAAGTCATTATGCCTCAGTGTTCTTGAAGCTGTAAGTTTCTCATCTTTGAACCCAGGGCCTTGTACTTGCTAGGTAAGCAGCTCTACCACTGAGCTACAGACCCAGCCCCAGGACCTTGAGACTTTTGAAGAGTACTGATTAGTTACCTTGTAGAATGCTCCCTCGTTTGGACTGTGAGATGTTTTCCCTTAAATATCCTGCTTCTCCCTAAACTCTCACCTAAGATTGGGCTTATGTGTTGGGCAGAAGAAAACCACAGTGATGTCAGGACATCAGATCCTGGGATATTGAGACCTGGCAAAGGACAGGTAGCTGATTATCAAAGAAAAGGAAATGGGTAGATACCACTTCCCTATCTACCAGTGGCTAAAAGCCTCCAGGGGAGAGGGAAGGGGAATGTCCCACTTTCTGGCATAAGCAATCACCCCCTGGATGGCTCTGTTTCTGTTTTTTGGTCATGTAGGCTGAGAAAAAAGGAAACCTAAAATCTATAAAGGGGCAAGACACCCCCACTCCCATGGGCACTAGCTTTGGGCCCCCTCCTCTCCAGAGGTCTCTCTCCCTCTCTCTCTCTCTCTCTGTTCTCTCCCTTAAATAAAACTTGTTTTCTTGCCTCCCTGTTTCTTTGGTGTTTAATCTTCAACCCTAGGGGAACGAGGATCCAATCCTGATCAAAGCAGGATCAGTGTGCAATGTCATCATTGTTTATTTCCGAGATGTAAAACTTGGTCACAGTGAAGGTGGTGAAAGTGGCACTTTCTGTTGCTGTAACAAAATGCTGGAGGCTGGTTTATTGGTGAAGAAAACTGCTAGAAACTAGTTTTCCCTTGTAATTGATAAACATATATCTTGGGAGAGATGCTTAAATATCCTACTTCTCCCTAAACTCTCACCCACAGTTAAAATGTCTCCGGATCATGCCTCCTGCATTTATTCACTGAAATTTTTCTGCAAAAAAGAGTTGTTCCTTTTCTTTTATTATTATTATTTTTTGGCATTACAATCCTTATTACACATATAGAGCACAATTTTCATATCTCTTTTTGTATATAAAGTATGTTGGCCCCCAAATTCAAATCTTCATACATGTTCATGCCAACTTATACCATTATACATGTGCTCTTTTTTTTTTTGCATTACAATTAATACACATATATACCACAATTTTTCATCTCTGTTTGTATAAAAGGTATGTTGGCACAAATTCAAATCTTCACACATGTATTTTGTATAAGGATGACCATCCCATTCCACCATCCTTGTTAATCCCGAGTTGTTCCTTTTCATTTATTCATCATTTAGTTCTTTACATCAACATGGACTACAGCATATTTATTTTATCTTTTATTATTTGGGTTAGTGATAAAGCCAAAACCTTGACCCAGGGGAATGAGGAGAAAATCTATACTTTGCTGACATAAGCCAAAGGATATGGGGTCAGACCTAGACTTGTAGGGAAGGCTGGAGAACCAGTCTATCACAGCAAAGTCCCTGGGCAGGACAGGCCCCCTCAGACCTGAGCCTGTGACCTCTTATGGACACCCAGTGAGGACTGAATTCCAGAGGAAGTGCCTCTCCTGGAGAGAGGACTGAGAATTTCATATCAGACTGTCATAGGAAGAGAGAAAATGAAACTATATAGGCCTTTCAGTCCCTGAGAAATCAATCTTTGTCACCTAGTCAGGAATATTGGAAGAGACCCTAAACTGTCCCCATATTCCAATGGCCGGCACGTCACTTGTAAATCTTGTTAAAATGCGGATTTCCCCCTTTAGTGGGTTGGGGGGTGGCTGCTTTGTCAGGGACCAGGTCTTGACTACAGCCCCTGATGGTTGGGAACCTTGACCATTCGTTGGACCACTTGAGGAACTTTTATACTTACACCTGGGCTCCTTCCCTTGAGTGAGTCCTCCGGTTTGGCAAGCAGCTCAGGCACCGGGAGGTTCAAAAACTCCTCAGGCGATTTCTAAACGGCGTGGAGTCTGAGAACCAGCGCCGGAGTGGTTTCTCACTACGGAGTCCCTCTGCACGGCCTGCGGGCGCCGGGTTCCA